CAACAAGCAGGCGGCAATTTGGAAACGCTTTTAAGTGCCAAAAAAAAAAAAGTAATGAAAAATAACAACAACGTCAAATGAGATTAGTTACAAGGCATTCTGTGTTGTTGCAACATGAAAAATTCTGAATGGACCATTTTTATTGACCAGCAGTTCAAACGAATGAATGAATTGGATTTTGGTGTCGCAAAAATTTTCTATATATGTCCAAAAATGTACACAAACGAATAATCCCTTATTAGTCATTTAAACACGTGCAGTTTACGGAATATATAATACGCGATTAGAAGGCAAATGAAAATTGAAAATCGACGAGGGTATTGTGGGAATTGCATTGAAAACTTGCAATTTATTTAACCTTAGGAAAAATCGAAAAATATACTTTAATACATTCTTGGACAGCGGACGGAACACTGACCAACAGGACTTTGCAACAGAGCAATCTCGATATATTTTTAAAAGAAGAAATCAGGCTTTGTTTAATTTTTATTTTATTTGCATTCAGAGGTTGAGGGGTCATAACTTCTGAAATTTTTCGTTGATTTTAATAAATTATACCTAGTTTTATTAAGCATTAGACGGGGTTTTGAAGGAATTTATTAAGGACAAATATACTTCAGAAAAAAATTTGGAAAAACTTCCTGTTGAACTTAAGTTTTTTGAACAGCTATTAGTGTTTCTGCTTTGGGTTTATTTTAACCTCTCTAAATTGCCAAATTTTTTTGAAAAGTTTTGACGAAAAATCTACATTGTCAAAATTTTTGCTACATATACGACAACTCATTTTGTTTGCGAAAAATGAGGCTATCGTATTAGTGATGAGAGAATGAATTTCTAAAAAATAATCACCTTTTAAAGCGCAGCAAAATATAATGAGCCTAGTATATTACTAATGATAGAAAACTTCAAACATTTTTCTAAGAAATAATCACCTTGTAAAGCGCGATTTGTGAATTTTTGTTGTTGTTTTTTAAAGACTTTTTCGTAATAAGCATCTCAAAATTCCAGTACCGGATGCGAAAATTGTCTCGCCCAACGTGTTCAGCGACCTTGAAAACAAATTGTTAGAAGGATTTCGTGCGCGCAAGCATTGAAGGAAGAGTGTTTTTAAACACTTGATGCGGAGGCACAAAACGTCCTCTAAATGTCTATATATTTTTGCACCAAATTTTTAGGGTTTAGTTTTTAGCCATATTGGAAGCTAAAAAGTTAGGTATTGATCAGGCTAATATACATACATGGTTGCATTTTTTGCCGAGTGCGCTACATTATTTTTAATATAATTGGGGAGTTTTCATATTATTCGATTCGAGTCGAAAAGAGTAATCATTCCATTACGAATGCCGCGATTCAGGGCCGCCTTATTAGCCCAGAAAAACAAATGAACAAATAATGGGCCGATGCAGCTAAAATCACCCATTAAGAAAAAAGTGCAATTTTCTGCACATTTTATTGTTTCCCAATAAACATTTCTCAACCTTTCAATGTTTCTGAATTCATACTGAAACTCAAAATTCCTTAACAATTAAATGGAATAAAAATTCTTTATAATGTGAAGACATCGTCGCTACCCTGTCAAACTATCAAATGTGGAAATGTGTATTTTTCAGGATAGCAAAAATACGGCTGTAAAAAATGTTGTTGTCATTCGGAAAAAGTGTGGGATTCGACACTTTGTATCCTCTGCTTCAAATAAGACTAGAAATTTGACGATTTGCCATGATTCTAAACGCATGCGCAAGGTATCGTAAATGAAAAAGCATTTTTGCACATTCGATAGTTTGGCATGGCAGCGACGACATGTCAAATTTGTTTTTTTTTCCATGAATGAGCTAAGAACTGCTGGATTCCAGGAAATTGTTCCACTTTCTTTCGCAAAATATTCGATCGGAGTTTTACTGTACCGGCGACGCAAAAATGTCATTTTCACTATTCACATAGCTTTTTTACATTTTCTATGTTTTCATTAGTTTTCTCTGTGCCGACTTCACAGACTTACGCTTAACAGCGGCTAAATTCACTGTTGACAGCTCTGTTAATGATTTCAATTGCCTACTCGCATAGCTTGTAGTTCTTCATTCATCTTACTATCCACTATTGCCTACATTTAGGCGCACATTTAAAGCCACTTTACTTACCTTATCATTCGTTTCCTCCAATTCGAGTATCCGGAATTCCAACAGTTCATTTTGTTCGCGCAACTCATCCGCCTCCGTGCTCAATTGATGTTCCTGCTCCTCGAGTTGTTTTACACGTGCCATGAGTTGTTGTAATTTGGCATTATTGTTGATCTGTTGAATTGAAGCACAAAAATTAAATTGCAATTCAAAGCACAAATAAATATATATAAAACTCACATCCATGCTGGTTTTTTCGGCATCGAGTATATGC